ATAATTTTAAAAACTTTTATGTAAAATTTTAAGTGAATTCCCTCAAATTTTCAGGGAGCGATTTGAGAATGTTTAAAATATTATGTGAAATATTTCTAATTTTTTCGAGTTTCCCAACTTTTTAAAAATCTCTTCGAATCAATTTCTAAATGAATACATTTGGAATGTATGAATTTCTTAAAAATCATGATCGAATACCCCTTAAACTTTAAAGAATCACTTAAAATCCTGATTAAATGCCCTTAGATTTTTAAGGAGAATTAAAATGTTTATAAGCCCCAATTGGATGTACCGCTTAATTTAACTAATTGACACAACACAACAAAACCAGTTAAGATTACAAATTAACACAAAAGACGACTTGATGCGAGGTCATATCTAAAAAACTTGCCGCAATAAGCCCCAATTGGTGTGTTTAAACTTCTTTCATTAATTACTGCATATTTTCTACACTCACAATGTTTGTCAGCTCGCTATATAATCAACTTGATAATGTTAAATCCATCATGCAATGCATTTCCTTCCAATTTTTTGTGATAAACTAATAAATAATTGACTAAATAAACATCTTGCAAAGTTTCAATAAAAATTTCCAAGTTTTTCTTACAATTTCCATGGTTTCCATGTAATTTTTATCGATATCGATATTATCCCGATATTTCCATCGATATTTCCGTGTTTTCGGACTACCGATATTTCCGATATTACCGATATTTAATACCTTGATTAAGACTAGAAGTAATCAGACCACACAAGATTTTAGGTTGAGTGGGGAAAAAGTCAATTTGGATATTACTCTAAGCGTTACTACTTTATATTATTCACTCCAATGTCTTTGAATATAAACTAGGTACCTAAAGGTCTTGAGATGGGAATTGGTACAATGACACGGGAAGAGAAGGCAATAATATACGTGACCAGCAAGTACTTAACTCCATCTCCTTTCCTGCCTGGAGTAGAAGGTGTTGAGGAAGTTCATTTTGAAGTAGAGCTTGCCCACTTTATTCAGGTGTGCAAAGTTCTTCTTTATCATAAATCAAGTTGCCTCTTCATGTCTCTTTGTTTTCTTCTTTATGTAATCATTTGTATAGCAAAGTTGGCAAGGATATATGCTTTTATAGGGTGGTCAAGTTCTGATCTAGCTTTATGGTTCTGTATTATCAGGTGCGTGACATGCTTGGTGACGGGCGCCTGATAAAACGTCGTATTCATGATGGAAAAGGTGTGGTTCAAGAATTTTATGTTCCCAGTGAAATCAAGGTTTCTTAAAAACATAAATTGAGACGTGCTACATAATTTTCCATTATTTTCATGTCAGATTTTCCCAATCGAGTCATTGACTCTGTTCCTTTTCAAATGGTAGTTTTTTTGGTCTTCACGAATCTTTTATCTACATAAGTTATATTTATGCATGAAGTGTAATGTTTCTATTATATTTCTTGAACAATTAGGTGAGTTTCCTATGGATTGCCCTCTTCATGACAGCCTACTACGTGTCCATTATAAGGGTATGCTTCTTAACGAGGAAAAGACTATCTTCTATGATACAAGAGTTGATAACGATGGTCAGCCTTTGGAGTTTTGTTCTGGAGAAGGCCTTGTGAGTTGTCCATAAGCTTTATGAAGAATTCTTAGTTTGTCTTCACTTTTTCAGTTTGTGCAATATGTGTGCGTCTGTATACACTTTCTATATGAATGGTGATTAGTTGGAAATTCATTACATTGAAACTTTTATGTTGTATGATAGGTGCCCGAGGGATTTGAAATGTGTGTTCGCTTGATGGTGCCTGAAGAGATAGCTCTCGTCACATGCCCTCCTGATTATGCATATGACAAATTTCCTAGGTTATTTTGAGAATTCTAGCTTACCATTTATAATTTCTATCATAATTGATAATAAATAGTATCCTAAAATGTAACACCTAGACACACAAATGGAAGTCTCCTGCCATTGTTTCTATTGTTTTTCGAGTTTGAGTGTATCACTGTTTTTCTTTCCATATCATAGGCCTGCTAATGTTCCTGAGGGTGCTCATATTCAATGGGAAATCGAGCTTCTTGGGTTTGAGATGCCAAAGGTAATCTTAAGTTTTTCTTCGAAGTTTTGTTTTAAAAAATAAATTGTTTTGATAATGTTTGTAATTTGTTAGGGTTATAGTTTCTGAATATTTGTGGTTGATAATTTTAATTGTTCATGTTAGTGTTAACTTTCTGTCAAGCAGTTGCTTCAATATGAGATGAAATTCTGACCTTCAAGAATTAGCTTTTGGCTTAAAGTAACTTCAAAGTGGTTGTGTACTTCGTCTTTAAAATTACCTCTACTGGTTCTTGATGGAGGAATACTTAATTATGGGCACTCTAAATGCTTTAGGTGCTGATGTGAGTCTGTGACTAAACTATGCATAACTAGACATGCTCGTATGTTTTTCTGGTTAGCTGGACATTTGTCTTAACTATGCATTGAGTTTTTTTCTTCTTCTGTAGGTCCCTACTTTTAAGCTCTACGCTACCAATGTGATTAATGCCTAATTCTCAAACTCATTGCAGGATTGGACTGGTTTAAATTTTCAAAGCATAATGGATGAAGCAGAGAAGATTAGAAATACGGTATTTATTATTAACATTAAGTGGTTATTGCATCAAACCGTAAACAGCTAATGATATATTGACCCAGAATCTTATTGCATCAAAGCTTTGTCAGTGCTCAGTTTCGTGCTTTCATGCTTATCTTCAGAATTAAATTGTTCTGGTGGTATAAAGCTTGACTTCTTTGACCCTATATTCGTTTCAGGGAAACAGGCTATTCAAAGAAGGAAAATTTGAACTTGCTAAGGCTAAGTATGACAAGGTAATGTGCCCTTGCTTTCATGCTTCACCCTTAAATTACGTGTATATTCAAGATCCCTCTTACTAATTGGAACCAAAGAATTAGTAGATATGTTCCACCCAAAATGGGAATGGGCTAGGGTTATGAACTTAATTATCTATAATCTGATGATCAAGTCGATTCCAGGATTATAATTTCATTCCATACTGAACCAGACCAGAATCCATTCTAATTATGAGAAGGGTTCATTTGAGCTTATTGGGTGTGGGTCCATTCTACCTTCGTATAGAAGCATGTTTTCTTACTGAGGTTGTCTGTCAATTAATGTCATTGCAAGTTTGCTGTTGCTTGTTACAAAACTGATTTTATTTTTTTCTAGGAGTTCACAGCCACAGTTTATCTTATGATTTGAGTTGTATTCCTGGAATCTAACTGCCATTAACTCAGTTTCTGTTTAAGTATAACCCAATTTAATTTGATTTTTTTTATGGATGGGTGATAATACTACATTCTGATCAAAATCTTTTATTTTTTATGATTTGTCATTCTATGAAATCATAATCGACTTTCTGCTCCAAGCCATTCAAAATGTGTCCCTCGTCCTTTATAGGCGTATGATCTTATCTGTCGGATGGTTTTTTGCAGGTACTTAGGGAATTTAATCATGTTAATCCTCAAGATGATGAAGAGGGGAAAATATTTGCAAATACAAGGGTAACCATTATACCATGCTGATTGATTTTATCCTCTGTATATATAATTTTCTGTAATTGCTTAATTCTTGTATCTTGTAATAGTAGACATCTTCTTTCTCTAAGTCGAGCTGCACAACCTGTGTGGTTGATAACTATATGTCGACGACTCATAATTGGTTCTCTTTTGAATGTTTAAAGAATCTGTTACATCTGAATGTTGCTGCATGCTTCCTGAAGATGGGAGAATGCAGAAAATCCATTGAGACATGCAACAAGGTATGTATTGCTACTTTCGTATTGAAAGATAAAGGGTCTGGATAATTAGTAATGTAGTCCGAAGTCAAGTCTTTTCACTTTGTTTTGTAATGCATTCCCGATGGAACATCTAGGTTTTAGAAGCGAACCCTGGACATGTCAAGGCTCTTTACCGCCGCGGTATGGCCTACATAACTCTTGGGGATTTCGAGGAAGCAAAGCGTGACTTCAACACGGTAATGCTTGTAAATAATACAGTGATATTATTGATTAAATTCCTGTTATTCCTTTTCAAATTCGCTTCTCGATGCTTTTAGATGATTAAACTAGACAAGTCAACCGAACCTGATGCTACAGCTGCTCTGCTAAAAGTTAAACAGAAAGAACAGGTGAGTTTATCAGCAACAATTTGTTTATGATTTGAGAGACGGAGCGGAAATTGTTTATGCGATTGTCATTGTCTCGCCATTTATAATCAGGAAGTTGAGAAGAAGGTACGGAAACAATTTAAGGGCCTATTTGACAAGAAGCCAGGGGAAATGCAGAGGTTGGAACTGAAGACGTAGATCAGCCTGCAGTTGAGAACCCTAAGAGTGATGATAAGGAGGATTCCGACGGAGATAATTCAGACGAATCTCATGAAACTGTGGATGACCCTCCCAGAACATCCTGGTTCTCTCTACTCTGGCCTAAAAGACTACTTGCAGCCCTAGGGCGGCCTGGATGTGCGATTTTGTGATCAACGTCTCAAATTAACGTTGCGACGCTGTTCCGGCCATCGGCCCCACCGGAGGTTCGATTATTGACAGGTTCTAGAAATGTAGTTAAGTGTCAACAATTGTAGACTGTAGAGCTTTCTATACTCCACAAACAGTGGAAATCATGGAAATTAATGTTTTAACTTCTTTAATGATTTTGTCAAGGGTCCCATAAACCGTGAACCGGTCTTGTTCTTTACAGCATCAATAGCAATAGTCAAGTCAACTTAGCAATAATCAAGTCAAGTGGTTCAGGTAGGCTGAGCTCCACTGACCAATCACGAACGAGATCTCATGGACGGTTGCTGTTACTGCGAGAGTCAAATGTCCTTAATCCATCCATTGATCTATTTGTTTCTCTTAATCCCAAGTTAAAGACAAATATAATTCTAGTTTATACATTTTTGACGATGACAAATTTGCTTAATTGTAATGATTACTCAATACTTAAAAGGTTCATCATTTGTCCCCTTGGCGATGTCCGATGAAATTGGAACGATATAGAAGAAGATTAGCATGGTCTTTGCGCAGGGATGACATGCATAAATCGAGAAATTGTTCAAAAGTTTTTTGTTAAAAAAAAAAAAAAAGGTTCATCATTATGTGGTGTTACAACTTCTAATTCAGAAGGGATAAGTTCTAAGGTATTGATTATGATTATGATTAGATTGGATTGGATTACTTATAAGATACGTTGAAATAAGATTTGAAGGCTGAGGTGAAGGTTCATAATTTTGTGGGTATTAAAACTTCTAATTAAAAAGAAAGGATAAGTTATGAGGTATTGATGTTTTACCAGTTTGTGGGGATTGGAATAAGTTTCGATTATGAGTAATCTAACTCTACCTATTTGGACTTTTTTATTAATTTCAATAGTCAACATGCCTTAATTTAGTTAGCTTAGTCCAATCTTATTTACCAAATGAGCCCCACTATAGTGATGTGTTTGGCATGCTGATGTCGTGTATCAAACGCATTGCAATTGTAACACGTGCATCAGATGTAGTGGTGCGAGAAGGGTAGAGTAATGAAGTAGGATTTGTTAGTGTGTAATTGATGAACTGATTAAAGAAGACTATAAGTTTGTATTAGTGTTATGCTTCAGCTCATAGGCTGAGCTTGTGTGTTAGAATGTGATGTGTTGGGTTAAGTCTCATAGGGTTTAATCTCAGTGTAGGATGTAATGGATGGCTGAGATTGAATTTAGAGATGCGTCTATCTCTCTTTCACCTCCAACGGTTATATTGTTGGTCTATAAGCTCACATGTTCAGTGTGTATGCCCGAAATATATGGAAGAATTGCAGAAGGATATTCTCTGATTTTTTTATCGAAATTCTCTTCTTCTTCTCGCTTAAGCTTTCTAAGTTTCTCTTCCATAACCACTGCTAGAATTCCCGTTTAATTTTGAATCCTCTAATTTTCTTGAGGTGTAGTTCAAATACTAGTTCATTCGAACAGAAATATGCAAATCATACAAATATTAGTTCATTAGAGCCACAAGCAAACTAGCTAAAGCACTACACAACAAGCACATGAAAATCTTAGGTGAAAAAAAAGCAACCACAACAAGCGCACACATAAAATATGGGGCAACTTTTCCTCACCACCATCTTATTTATCATCGTTAGATGAATTTAAATTCTGAAATTTATGTCTATTAATCACATAAATGTCAAAATTTAAACTCATATGACAATAATAAATTAGATAATGAGCAAAAATATTTCCCGTTAAATATAGTCACGCACTACATAACAGACCAACAAAAAAAGAAGATAGAAACAAACCCAAGCACCCACACAAACTTAAGCACCGATCAACAACAAGAAGACAAATCAAACTTTGGGCTCGGGCGAGTCGGGGTGTTGGCCATGATCACGAACCTTAACGATGAAGAAACCTAGTGCATGGCCGGCCACGGCGGCGATGAGGATTCCAATATTGAATGACATGACAGAGAGCATGACCAGGTAAGCCAAACCGGTACGAAAGGTGTGGACGCCTGTCTGACCGAGGAGGGATAGGTAGGGTTTGGCGGCCGGTCTGTGTTTGGGCAAAACGGACAATACCTCGACCGCGACAGCGAGGAGGAAGATGAAGAAGAGAGCCAAGACGTACATGCCGAGGTTGTTGTCAGGCCACTTGGGGAAGAGGATGATGACATCTTTGCCCCATGTGAGGCCGCTGCTCATCATCATGGTACCATAAGTTGTGTTCGTCAGGTCGCCCTTGGGCGGAGGAGACATATTTGGCATGTCGTCCATTTCTCTCTCTCTCGAGAGAGACAGAGACAGAGAGAAAAAGAGGTTTGAGATTTTGAGGTTGGATTACTTCGGATGAATCTGGTTTTGGTGGCAATGGAAGGTGATTTTTCTTCTTGATTTTAGTGTATATTATATAAATGGAGGAGCTGGAAAGCAACGACGTTTGGGGTGATGACGATCGAGGTTTGAGAGATGAGTGGCCTTCTGTTTATTTTACAATGGCTTTTGTTTGTTTCATATGGCTTTTAATGTAATTTTACGATTTCCACAGTTCCACTATATTAAACTTTTCAAGATATTCTGTAACTTGCGTTGTCATACTAAACATAAAACTTTGAACAAGTTTATTTTAATGTGATATATGATATATGTGAATTAGGTCAGTTGGTTATGTAATGTGTCTATCTTTACACACTTAAGTTTGAATTTCAGTTTTCAATAAATTAGTATAGTTAGAACATCAATTTTTCAAAACCAAAATATATATAACGTTTCGTTCAGATCCACCGTCCGAGAATAAATCATATATCTAGGCCAAGATCATTACGTTGGTCCATTAAATTTACATTTGAGAAGGAAATAAAAAGATTCAATGGTGCTTAGAAAGTGGAGTGGAGGAGTGGGCACGTATAAAGGAAATGACAGAAATAAAGCTGATAGAACTAATAAGGATTTGACGTATCAAACAATACAGGATTAGTGGAATCTAATAACTTAATCGTCTTTGGTATTTCAGGATAGGAGTCTAGGAGAGGTACGATTCCGTGCACCATATGATCTAACCATACTGCCACCTAGTGGTAGAGCTGTGTTTTGCAAACTTCTAAAGAAACAATTATTGGAGTTTTGAGCTCCTTTTAAGTCCCGGGAACTCAAGGAAACTTAAAGTCCTTATATTAATTTAGTCTTCTTTATTAATGATTAGATATTGGATCATTTGAATAAGGATTGAGACTTAGATTACTCACTAATGGTGTGAATTAGTCTTGATGATTATATCATAATATTAACAATAACATTAATATTAATTAATATTAATTAATTAAGAATTAAAATTAATCTGATCAATTAGTTTTAATTTTGAATTAAGTTTTTAATTAAATTAATTAAAAATGTTTTGATTAATAGACACAACTTGTATAGTTTTAGATACATCCACAAGGTATTTGAAGAGGTATGAAAGAACCTATATAACTGGAGTCCTCAATTCCATCGTAAATCATCTTTTCTTCCTCCTTTTCTTCCGCACAAAATTCCTAGAGAGTAAACACACAAAGCAATTCACTAGAATTCTATAATCCAGTGCGGGTTGTAGAATTAGGTAGTTGTATCCTGGTGAGTAGATGTTGTAGAATCACAAGTACAAAAGTGAGACGGAAATACTGTTCGAAAGACATGCACTAGCCTCTACCTCTGATTCATTCAAGTTAGTATCATTTTAATTTCTGTATTTATTGTGTAATTTCATTCTTGCAAGTATTTTTTTAATAATAAAGTATAAGTATTTCAGTTTTGTATTTATATTATTTTTTGTTTCTAAATTGTTCTCCAACAACAATACGACATTATCCTGAATTTATAGTTAATTAGTTTTGAATCAGCAGGGCTTAGGTAAATTCAAGGATCAGACCATGAATTTCTAGGTTCAATGACGAAAAACTGGAGATGCACTTGTTTGCATGCGCAAGCAAAGATATATGTACGATGGTTAAATCCTACATAATTGTTTCTACTTGGTTCTAGTGGTAGGGACATTATACATATCATTGTTGCATCCATGCGAGTTGAAATTGGACCTCCTCTAGCTAATGATTAGATTTAAATAGTAACTCTCTCCATTTGTTTTCTCTGTGAAAATACTTCCATGATTGATTGTTAGGAGAACACAAGATGTTTTACATTATAGAATAAGGTGAACATTTAGAGATCTTTGCAATATATGACATATCCTCCTCAATTGTTTGCTTAATTAGCCTCACAAATGATGAATCAAAGCTATTTTCTTGAAATATTAAAGGTAAAACTATTCATTGACAAAAGGTAAAACTAAATCAGATCATCAACTAGGCATAACAAAATCAAATTTCAACTAGGCTGGGGAAGCAGCTGGTTTGGCAAGAACAAGAGCACTGGCCTTGACTATAAAGTACCCGAAGGTGTGGCCTGCCACAGCGACTATGAAGATTCCGGCGTTGAATGACATGACAGCGAGCATGACCAAGTACCCCATGCCAATTCGAACAGCGTAAATGGACGCATGAGTGATCCCCGCCACAATCGGGTTCATGCTAGGTTTGACAACGGGCCAGGCAGACAAAGTTTCCATAGCAAAGGCTAGCACAAACACAAACAGTAAAGCCAATATGTACATGCCAGTGCTTTCGTTAGGCCAGCCTTTGAATAGGATTGTAGCCTCATTTCCCCAGTGGAAGTTCATCTGCATGTTCATCTTCATCATGTCCTCCATCCTTTCCTTGCTTGAGATTTGGGCATTGCAAGGTTTTCTTGTAGTTTTTGGTGTAATATAGCTACAAACAAGACATGCAAGTGTGGAAAACAATGTTGTTGGGACTTGGTTTGGAGGTGATTACAAGGGCCGAGGGACAAATGGCCGCTCTAGAGTTCTTCCGAAGATGGGTATAATTAAACACATTTGGAGTTGGTGCTAAGAAGCTAAGATGTTGTTATATGCTTTAAATTGATGAGAAGGTAAAGCCCAACTATGACAATAAGCTCTCTTTTGAAATTCACTAGTTACATCATTTATTCTGATCTGAAACTGTAGATCCATCGTATGTTATTCACTTCACAATTGATAGAAACTTAAGCCACAAAACCTATTTTTATTATATTTATGTTTCATTACTATCTTTATGGTCAGACCTTTTCATTCTACCTTTTCCTCCAAATGTCCCATGATAATCGAAACTGTCAACTTTTTAGTTCACTCTTTAAATATCAACTATGCTAAAATCAACCAAATTAATTTAACTATCCAATTGACGTTGTCGAATTTTCTATTTTTAAATGAATAACATTATTTATCCATTTATTGGATAATCATCATATGACTAATGATTTCTCATTTGATTAATTTTGGATAGAGTTGATGTGAAATTAAAAATAAACGATTTAAATCATCGTACAATAATAAAAAAATAAAAAAAAGAGCGGACTAACATTTCTGTTCACCAAATCATGAAGTGAATGTATAAAACTTTCGTTAAGTTATTTTATTAATACAGTTCTAATTCAGGAATATTACAAACATGCAGTTAGTGCCAATGCACTCAAGTGCACATACACAAACAAAAATGTAAAGGAAAATTTTATTTGAACTCATGTAACATCTTTCCACACTCAACTTACTCTCTTCACCCATATTGTTTTTTATTAAAGAATTAATTTTTTTTAAACCCAAATTTATTACTTAAACTACCATCTCAAACCTTATTCAAAAGGTTAAGTTATCTTTACACCCATTCCCTTTATAAAATAACATCTTGTTGACCCTAAAAACTACCAAGCTTACGTGGTGCGCAGGCCGAGTAATCTATAAGCTAACTACGTCCTTCGATGAATGTGGGGCGTGCCAACTCGTCGGCCGAGCTTAGCCGAGGAGTAAATTTGTTGATGTTGCGTTGGGTGCGCGGCTGACTTCTGCATCTCACGATTATGACCAAGGGAGGAACACGTCTCGGCCTCTTGGGTTCTCGAACTTGAAGACAAGGCTATTATTCTTACGAAATTCACGAATCGCCGTCGTTGGATTCGGTCACAGTGATGGTATTCGTCAGAGTAAACTCATGCCGAATCGACACCAAAGTGTAAGGGCACAAATACTCAAAACAGATATGAGTCTTAATAATGAACGTGGTTCGGCCGTTTGAATGCCGAACTCTGAATCCTACTTGAGAGTATCCAGTCATAAAATAACTCGGCGTGCAATGCGTCGAGCTCAGTAAACTGCAACACCTCACTTCGCCGAGAAGGCTAATGAGATGACCTCGATCAATAAGGATTCAGAAATCCTTCTTGACCGAGACTTGGATAGGTAACCAACCGTCCTCGCCGCAGTGCTGTTGATGCCAACGGAAGATGATGCAAGATCGGCTGATTCTACGGCGACAGAGCTATCTATGACGACTGAAGATATCACCGATTGCTTTCACAGTGCTGTTGATGCCAACGGAAGATGTGTCAGCGAAAGGAGAAAATAAAAAATCTCAAGTCGTTGAGAGAGTTTGCGCAGGGCAACTGTGTGTTGAATTGGAGGTCCTCGAATGATGCATGACCCCTTGTATTTATAGTAGCAGAACACTAGGATTGTCGATGTAAATAATGGGAATATTCTCTCAAGTATGCATGATCCCTTAACCTTAGAAACCGACCGAGACTTAAACTTCTCGAATTATCCCAAATGGATCCCGTGGCCTTGATGATTTCCTAAAAACCAACTGAGACAAAACCTCTCGAATTATCGCATATTTTCCTTATACTCTTGTGCTGATTACCCCACACATGCATGAATTGCATGAGATTGGCTCATTTCCCATGAAAGTACATGATTATTCCATCATCTTGATCAGCACCAAGCCACGTGCATGATAACATTTAATCATTATCACCAATCCTGAATTAGATAATAACAATTTCAAGAAATCCATTCTCATCTTGCTTGCATCTTATTACCTTTCTCCACGTATAGGTAATCTTTCAAATTAGACTCCACCTTGGTTACTAATTGATGCCACCATGTGCTAGGACTATCCTCACCCATGTTGAATGCTAAGAATCCCAAATTAAATCTAACTGTTATGCTTGCTTCAATACAGCTTGCGCCGCATTTATCTCGTACAAGAAAAGTGTCAAGATAATTCATTATTAAAAGATAATTCTTATGATTAAAAGTCATAATATTATCCCATAACAACAACAAAATTATCCTAACTTTTCCTACCCAACGGTGTGAAGCTATACTTACTCAACGACCTCGATTACTCGAGCCGATGGTGTAAATTTGGGTCCAAACATTGCCCCCCAGTTTCCTTGAGCTTCGGCTCGTAAGCCGAATGATTAAGGAAATTATACTTTTTGAACACTCGACAAATCCACCACACCCGAGCATTCATGAAACCGAAAGACATTGAAACCAACTCATTTACCACAAAGGGACAATTCATCGAACAACAAAAACCTTTTCAATACATGACTCGGCAAAAATTTAACAGACCTGCCGAGCTTGGTGAGAATCTTGGCAAATTAGGCCAAGGTTGACGATTTGGCCGAGTTTTGCATTTATGCTGAATTTATTGTGTGATTGCATGCATAAGGTTGCCATTCGGCCAAAAGCTTCTATTCAGGATACACACACACACACACGCATGGCACCAGGCCATAATGATGTTGGCTTGAAAATATATATATTATGTAGACGGCAAGCCGAATGGCCATATACATGTATACATGAATGATCCCATACTCGACAATAATGCCTTGCCGAGTTCGGCATGTATGTTATATACAGTTTTGTAAAGCGAGCCGAAGCCGAGGCCGAGGAGAATATAGCCTATATATATATATATATATATAGCATTCGGCCAAACTTCTTTCATTCGGTAAAACTTTATTTATTTATTTAATTTTTTTTTCTTCGGCCACTTCGGCCGAAAGCAACTTTTTTTTTCTTCTTTTAGATACATATATTCGGCCTAAACTAATATATATAAGTCTGGATTGCTTCCTCGACCAACTAATATTTGGATTACCGCACTGTTATTGCTCCCCTTATTTTCTTATGCATCGGCTTAATTAGCCAGATGATTAAGAAAATAAATTTTTTTTTTTCTAAATGGAAATAAAAGTGGCCGAACCATAGTTAGGAGGAGGCCAACCATGCTTTATTCCAAGCCAAGATCTTGTAATAACAAAATTTTGAAATTGATTTCGTCCTAGGCCGAATGAAGAATTTTCTCCAAATATTTTTCACTTGGCGAAATATTTTTCATTTTCGGCCACCAAATATGTTAGACAAATATTATGCTCCCCATGCATAATTACGTTGTTAATTTCGGCTTCGAACTCAAATAACTTGGCCGAATGGAATTTCTCTATATCAGCTTTATCGCCGATAATCATATCGATTGGCATAGTTTTGGCGTCAATTTTTTGCTTAGAAACTTGAACGTTTTCTTCTAGGCCTACCACACTTTCAGTCTCAACTGAAAAAACAAGTGGCCTAGGTTTTTCTTCAGCCGTCTTGACAATCTTCTTAGGCCGAATTTTAATTGTGGCCGAAGTGAAAAATTGCCCCCCAGTCTTTTGAGCCAACCATTCTTCAAATGGAATTGATTTGAACCCAAAAGGCATTTTTTTATCGAGCCACTCATAATATCGAGCTCTATCTTCATTTAACCATTGATCTTGTCAGTTGTGATGAACCTTCACCTTTATCATTTGAGAGAAAGATTTTTTCCTTTCTTTATTTGCTTCAACGATCCGGTCAAGGTGTTTTTATTGCTCGACAACTTCCTTGAGTAGGCGCCAAATCTCATCCTGATCGTGGTCTTGATATATCATGTGAACTTCGTAGTTTTAGCACTGGGTCTCACTGGGCGTGCCAAAATGTTGACCCTAAAAACTACCAAGCCTACGTGGTGCGCAGGCCGAGTAATCTATAAGCTAACTACGTCCTTCGATGAATGCGGGGCGTGCCAACTCGTCGGCCGAGCTCGGCCGAGGAGTAAATTTGTTGATGTTGCGTTGGGTGCGCGGCTGACTTCTGCGTCTCGCTATTATGACCGAGGAAGGAACACGTCTCGGCCTCTTATGTTTTTGAACCTGAAGAAAAAGCTACTATTCTTACGAAGTTCACGAATCGCCGTCGTTGGATTTGGTCATAGTGATGGTATTCGTCAAAGTAAACTCACGCCGAATCGACACCAAAGTGTAAGGGCACAAATACTCAAAGCAGATATGAGTCTTAATAATGAACGTGGTTCGGCCGTCTGAATGCCGAACTCTGAATCCTACTTGAGAGTATCCAATCATAAAATAACTCGACGTGCAATGCGCCGAGCTCAGTAAGCTGTAACACCTCACTTCGCCAAGAAGGCTAATGAGATGACCTCGATCAATAAGGATTCAGAAATCCTTCTCGACCGAGACTTGGATAGGTAACCAACCATCATCGCCGCAGTGCTGTTGATGCCAACGGAAGATGATGCGAGATCGGCTGATTCTACGGCGACAAAGCTATCTATGCCGACTGAAGATATCACCGGTTGCTTTCACAGTGCTGTTGATGCCAACGGAAGATGTGTCAGCGAAAAGAGAAAATAAAAAATCTCATGTGTTGAGAGAGTTTACGCAGGGCAGTTGTGTGTTGAATTGGAGGTCTTCGAATGATGCATAACCCCTTGTATTTATAGTAGCAGAACACTAGGATTGTCGATGTAAATAATGGGAATATTCTCTCAAGTATGCATGATCCCTTAACCTTAGAAACCGACCGAGACTTAAACTTCTCGAATTATCCCAAATGGATCCCGTGGCCTTGATGATTTCCTAGAAACCAACCGAGACTAAACCTCTCGAATTATCCCATATTTTCCTTATACTCTTGTGCTGATTACCCCACACATGCATGAATTGCATGAGATTGGCTCATTTCCCACGAAAGTACATGATTATTCCATCATCTTGATCAGCACCAAGCCACGTGCATGATAACATTTAATCATTATCACCAATCCTGAACTGGATAATAACAATTTCAAGAAATCCATTCCCATCCTGCTTGCATCTCATTACCTTTCTCCACGTATAGGTAATCTTTCAAATTAGACTCCACCTTGGTTACTAATTGATGCCACCACGTGCTAGGACTATCCTCACTCGTGTTGAATGCTAAGAATCCCAAATTAAATCTAACTGTTATGCTTGCTTCAATACAGCTTGCGCCGCATTTATCTCGTACAAGAAAAGTGTCAAGATAATTCATTATTAAAAGATAATTATTATGATTAAAAGTCATAATATTATCCCATAACAACAACAAAATTATCTTAACTTTTCCTACCCGACGGTGTGAAGCTAGACTTACTCAACGACCTCGATTACTCAAGCCGATGGTGTAAATTTGGGTCCAAACACATCTGGAATTGGATTTTTCATTTTTTTAAAAGAGGCATCCTTGCCCCACTCTCCTCTTCCCACTTGCATTTACATGACTACTCTTTTTTTTTTCTAGTACCAAACCCAGACATTTGCCTTTTTCCTTTCTACTAATGTGCATAAGCAACAAATCAAACAATTCATCCCCTTATATTTATCAACAAGCAAGGAAGTTTACAATCTAAGAACATTGGCAAGAAGTTTTTCCTTAGAATTTTCCAATTGCAATTGCAGAAAGTTTAACAAACCATTCGGGATTGATGAAAAAAATTGAAACCCAAATACTTATCTTCTAAACTTTAAAAAAAATTGAAATCAAACGAACAAAATATTCATAAATTGAGTCATACCTTAGTTGGAAGATTCAAAACTTCAAAATCACTATCCATCAATAAAAAAACTTGTTTTTCTCTACAAGACCTATTAAGGTTCGCTATCGATCAATAAAAAAACTTGTTTTTCTCTACAAGACCTATTAAGATTTTAACCAAAATGAACGTAGAATAAACAAGAAGTGATGGTAGGGTTTAATAGGTTTATTGATAAATTTGAGTTTTATTATTAATTTCATTTTGCACTTAATAGTAATTATGCAATAAAGACAATTAACAATTTAAATTTAAGTTGAGTGTAAAAAGAGATTACATGAGTTCAAATAAAATTTCTTAAATGTAAAACCCACCCCACAATCCATTATCCGCACCTCATGGGAGGAAGATCTGACGGTCTCTCAGTACCCGAACCGCCCGACTTCTTCCAAACCCCACTCCCAAACACCAAGAACCCAACCGCGTGCCCGCCAACCGTGGCAAGAAAAACGCCCCCATTGAACGACATGACGGCGAGCATCCCCAGATACGACACCCCTGAACGCACCGTGTAAAGACACGTCCGCAGAAGCCCCGCCGTGACTATATTAGTTCCGGTCTTGATTAGCCGGCTGTGAGAGAGCCACTCGACCAGCACGCCCAGAAGGAAGACAAACACCAATGAAATGGCGTATATGGCCGGGCGGTCGGGTCCTGGCCAACCCGTGAAGAGAACCTCCGCGCTGTGGCTCCAGAAGAATGACATATGCATCATCATCCTGTGGCGACGCATCGGCATGAACCCGCCACTATTACTGCCGTTAATCAGCGTCGCTGCTGGTGGGGATGGAATGTTATGATGAAGCAGTCATTTTAAAGCTACACTCGGGACCAGTGGATGAAGAGAAATACTTTAACTGCTAAGACAATCTAGCACTTGCAGTTTAGATTAAAGGGGTATTTGGTACTTGGCGAAATGGAAGCAAGGACTTAATGACCCAAGAAAGAGCTAACAGAACTGAGAAGTTCTCTTCCTCGACTTCTGGTAGGTCACGCTGGTTCTCTATTTCTCCACTTCTGGTAGGTCACACTTTTATAGGAAGTAAAGGGTATTGTTTTTTTATTTTATTTTGGTTCGTTTACAAGCAGTTCCGGGCACGAAAGCACCATACCAAATTTATATTATAGACTTCAAACTTTCAAAGCCTTCTAAAAGCTAGTTCCAACTTATTGGTTAAAAAAAAAAATTCTTATATGCTACGAGCATTGGATTGATTAAATTGATTTGGATTATTACTTTTATTGTGATTTTGTAAATTTAAGTCATTCCTGCCGCCGCACCACTTGCAGCACAGCAGCACCCATGGCCTCCTAGCCACGCCAATTCCAATCCCGTCCTCGCCGAGCCAAATTTTCAAGCCTCGAGGCTCCAGAAAATTAAGAAGGAAAAATGAAACTTTTTCTTACCTTGGTGCGGTGCGGAGAAGAAGAACAACAACAAGACACAATTATTTGCAAGGGCAAGAGAAGAAGAAAGCTAGGGAAGGGGAAACAAATTTCCTCTAGCTTCTCTTCCTTGTAGGGATAAAAATTAGTTCTCCAAATTTGTTTAATCCCCTTGCTTAAAGCAGAATTAAATAGATATTGGTGGCATTTGGTTTTCATTTCCTAGAAGAGTCTATCTCCAAGTCAAAGTAGGAGATCTACATCAAACTGGGGTGGCAGCTTGGGACTTCTACACCTACTGTCATTTTCCTTCATGCAGCCCAGCAAGTGTAGGGCCATTTGTGAACCCTAAAATAATCTCAAAAGCCTAGAAGACACGTTTTGCTCAAGAAATACAAGATTGACTTCATTAAATGGACATATTTCTCAATACTCTCATGCCCAGCTCAGCACCCTGAAGGTCCAAGCAGTTGAATACAACTGCTGCTCACTTGCCCATAGCAAGGAAAAGTCAAAGGCATTAAAGATAGATATTAATTACTAAATCTCTTCTTTAATACGTTCCCAATTGAATATTGACTCCATCCAAGTAAGTAATCCCTATTTCAATCAATTAGAGATACTTGCACCACTATGTCAATATATTAGTGAGGAACTAACTTAGGCATCAGAAATCAATTGGGCCCCCCAACCCCACCACGTGGGCGCGTGAGGCATATATTTTTTTCATCAAAAGTATTGATTATTTTGTAAGTACATTTTTATCAAGATTGAAGACGACGGAAATTCGTTACCACAGTCACAATGAAGCAAAACCGAATAAGACATCGAACACAAAGAAAGCAAACCCTTGTGATCTCGACTCATGCATTATCAAGAGACCTGTATTCAAATTCAATATTGGAGCGAGAGACAAATGACTGCTTCTAAGATATTTGGTGAGCAAGTTATTTTCATACATGTGTGATGAGTATAGTATGATTTGTTTCCAAGCAATTTCATGGCACGAAAGCTGCTACACCATAACTAATATTAAAGGTTTTAAACTTTCTAAGCCTTTTAAAAAGCTACAATTATAGAATACAAACATATTTGCTTATTTCACGATTTGGCACCAAATCCTTCAGTCACGTGCACGATTTGGCACCAAATCCTTCAGTCACGTGCACGATTTGGCACCACCAATTAGATCCGGCAGTTTCTGACATGACACGAAAATAACGGATTTTGGATCAACATGATAACTTATCAGGTCATTATCGGGTTCTTAATGGGTATACATGCGGGTAACACGTGGGTAACCCGTTAAGAAAAAAATTATTTTGATAATTTTAAAGTCTAATTACTAAAAGATTAATTATAAAATACAATAGCCATATTAATATATACAATATATTCTATATTAAATATATAGTTTTGTATTATTATTCTATATAAGTTAAAAAAAAGTTTTTGTCATTATTTATTTTTATTATGAGAGTTCCTTATTACCATTATTAGGATAAATTTTACTTAACATGTTGTTGTCCAAAATTAAAATAAACTAATATAGTATTTGTATAAGCAAGAACTAAGAAGACATACTGTTGACCCTAAAAACTACCAAGCCTACGTGGCGTGCAGACCGAGTAACTAATGAGCTAACTACGTCCTTCGGTTGTGTGCGGGGCATGCCAACTCGTCGGCCGAGCTCTTCATAAGAGTAAAATTTGTTGATGTCGCGTTGGGTGCGCTGCTGACTTCTTGATCTTGCGACTGCAGCCGAGGAAGGAACACGTCTCGGCCTTCGAGTTTTAGAGCCTGAAGACAAGGCAACTAGTTCTGCGAAGTTCAAAAATCGTCGGCGTCGAATTCGGTCACAGTGATCGTAAGAGTATAAGCATGCCGAATCAACACTAGAGTATAGAGACACAAATACTCAAAACAAATGTACGTCTTGATTGTGAAAGTGGTTCGGCCGTCAGAATGCTGAGCTTTAAAACTTACTTGTGAATAACCAATCATCAATAACTCGGCGTTCAATGTGCCGAGCCTAGTAATTCGTAACACCTCACCTCGCCGAGAAGGCTAATGGGATGACCTCTGCCAATAAGGACTCGAAAAACCTTCTCGATCGAGACTTGGATAGATAACCAGTCAGCCTCGACGCAGTGTTGTTTATCCAAACTGAAGGTGCACTGCGGTCGGCTGATTTACGGCAACAGTGTTGTTTATCCAAACTGAAGATGTTCACCGGTTGCCTTCACAGTGCTGTTTATCCAAACTGAAGATATGTCGGCGAAAGAAGAAAATAAAAATCTCAAGATTATTGAGAGGTTTCGCAAAAGCGAGGGTTTGCGCAGGGCAATTTGTGTGTTGAATTGAAGGGGGGTTGAATGGTATCTTCCTCCCTTTATTTATAATAGCTAAGCTGCTTCCGATCGAATAACAACCATTCTCGGATCATGACTTGTTTCCTCGATCCCCCCTTATCTCGGCTAGTCTTACTCCTACTAGGACTTTGAATTCAACCTGTTATCAAGTCGGATTCAATCCCAAACTCCAACATCCTTATCTTATCGAAACTCCTTCTCATATTAGGATTCAACTACATATGGATTCCTAATAGGACACGGTCGGCCTTGGCTATGTGGCCCATAAATCGAATGATCCCCAATGACTCCTAAGTACAGCCTCTGGGCCGAGAACAATTTAGTGCTCGACCCAAACCAATATTTTGGGCCCAAACATTGCCCCCTCGCTTCTGAGGTCGTCGACCTACACTCGTTGGTTCAAGCCTCGACCTTGAAGAAGTGAAACCGACCTAAAAACAATCATTGAATCCTATGGACAAATACCACCATGCGCATTTATGAGACATGATCCCACAATCTCGATTTTCCCAACTGTCCTGCCACATGTCGGTCCCCTGGTTAACCTAGCAGCCCTTAATCATGACCCTTGAAAACATGCGATCGCCGAAACGTCTCTCTTGCACTAAACCCGCCCGCATCACGCAATTGTGCGTCCTCAAACCGCGAAAGCCTCAATCTTTTTGCCTGGATTCTCTGAATATCTACCATGATTAGCAACTTTCCCGCTCGATTGTATCCTTAATTTTGAAAATCAAACATTTAGCATTCTTTCCCAAATGCCTATAAATACCCAAATCCTTTCCATTCATACCTTACGTCTTCCAAAACCCTTGAAACTTTCATGCCACCTTGCTTTCAAAACTTTCAAAAACCAGAAAACCCTAAGCTTTCATCTCAGAAATCTTTAAGCTTTCATCAATGGCCCCCTTCATCTCAGAATTCTCCAACGAGTACAATAAGTGCAAGGACTTTATCGATCGAAACGCCATTAAGACTCTGCTTTTTAAGAGTGACCTAAACAATACTCACCAAATAATGGGCTCACTCTTTAAGGACACAATGCCATCATCCATCACCAACCTATTCAAAAAGCACTGCCTGACACATTTGCTGCAAGGATTTGATTGGTCAAAGTGGTGACAGACAGAGCCTCAAGGAGCCTGGCCTTCGACCAACGCAAACTGGGCGGCTTGGGTTGTACGAATTGAAAAATTCTTTGGCAAAGAATGGGAGGCTCTCGGCATCCACGACATCATTAAGCTCTCGACCATGGAGATTTCCATGGATAAAGAACTTCTTATGACAGCTCTAAGCTTCTGGTGCTCGACCACCAACACATTGGTCATTCCGTTCGGCCCCATGACCCCCACCGTCCTCGACATCTCGGCTATCCTTGGGACTTCTCCTTCTGGCATGCCAATAGACGACACCCTTATTGGATGCCCATCAAACCTCAACCTCAAAGTGTTGTTCGACGAACGGACCATCAAGACGTTGAGCCAAGAAGGTCAAGAGCCTTCAAAAGGGGAAATTCAGAAGTTACATAAAAATTTTCTAAACTACAACACCCTCATCCTCCATTTTGCCGGTCGATGAGAGACGGGTCTGCGGAGGGGCGAATATGAGGTCTTCCTATTTTACTGGTACAATAAGTTTATCTGTTGTACCAAGTCGAATAAGTGCTTGGTCGAAAATATGCCGATGGTGGAAGCCTTGGCCAGTGATTACTTTCTGGCCCTCAGTCCAGTTATCCTTGCCAATCTTCTACGCTACCTCGTTGAGACGACCGTCAATAAGATCAACCCGCAACAGAATGGACCTCTCTGGATGTTCTAACTCTGGCTACAGGTTTATTTCTCCACCATTCGGCCAGAAATCTCCAACTTTCAGTCTACTGCATCACTCGGCCTTCAGTTGGCCTCTCGACCAGTGCCTCCTCACCGAGCTGAAGAAGTCTTCAAACATTTCTTTGGCCTAGACGTCTTTTCCGACGATGAATTTTTGGTATGTCGTTGTCAAGAACACCCTCACTCCGTCAAATTCCCACATCAACCTGGAATGAAAGCGAAGATGCTGGTTTTCGTCAAAACTGGGGGTCGTTCGTGTTAACTCGTGACCTTCCCCTCAGTTGCGATGCTCGCCGAGCAAGTTGGGAAGTCTACCACCCACACTTTGCTACCCGACAACTTGGCTACCTCCAAGGTTGCCCGGTGCCTCTACTTAATTCTCTCTCCCTTCTAAGCCAAGGACACCTATCTGGCTCCTCAGAAAGGGAGTG